GGCTGAAATCCCAATAGAATATAAGAACTTCTCTGGAAAATGGAGAATGGGACTTTTTAGTGATTTAGAAGTTCCGGTATTGTTGGGCAATGATTTGGCTGAGCGCTGTAGACATGTTAATATGATTACCAGAAGCCAAGCTGAACTAGAAGGGGAGGCTGAATACAGTGTTGCTGATGAACAACCATCTACCTCACAAATAGAAAATGTCAGCCAAGAAATTCCCTTCAGTTTAAACCAAAGCCATATGAGGCAGTTTGAAACAGCCCAGCAACATGATGAAAGCTTAAAACCTTTATGGGATGAAGTGGTCCCAGAAAACCACACACCCACAAGTGAAAAGACAGTTTTGTTGAAAGTTGTGGAGAATAAATTGTACCGAGTTGTGAGGAGACAAAAGGGTCCCAAATTCTTTGAGGAAAGAACACAACTAGTAGTACCACACAAGTATAGGGCTAAAATCCTCAAGTTAGCCCATGATACCACCTTCAGTGGACACCTAGGTATCAAGAAGACCAAAGATCGCATTCAGTCTAGGTTTTTTTGGCCCGGAATGGGAGGTGATGTGACAGCCTATTGTAAGTCCTGTGAGACTTGTCAAATGGTGGGAAAAGCCAAAGATAAGACAAAAGGACTGTTACAATCCATTCCAGTTGTCACTGTTCCCTTTGACAAGGTCGGAGTGGACATCATTGGCCCTATGTCCCACAAGACACTTGATGGACATAGATTCATCTTGACTGCCGTGGACTTTGCCACACGATACCCAGAGGCAATTCCATTGAAGGAAACTGACGCCAAAACAGTGGCAGACGCGCTGCTCAATATATTCGCACGCGTGGGTTTCCCTAGATCTATCATTACAGATCTTGGAGCTACATTCATGACGCAGATGATGCAAGAACTGTTCCGGACCTGCAAGATCAAGCATCTGACTTCTACTCCATACCATCCTCAAACCAACGGTTTGACGGAGAGATTCAACGGTACCCTCAACCACATGCTGAAGGTGTACGTCCACAAGAACCCTAATGATTGGGACAAGAAACTTCAACACTTCTTGTTTGCTTATCGGGAGGTTCCACAAGCCAGCACCAAGTTCAGCCCATTTGAACTGTTATATGGGAGAACACCAAGAGGACCTATGGACATTTTGAAGGAAGCATGGACAGGAGCAGAGGACATTCCAGAGAGCGATATCAACAGCTACATCGAGGACTTACGAGAACATTTAACAACCATGAGAGACTGCGCAGCCGAGAGTTTGTCAACTGCCCACCTGAAGCAGAAAGAACAGGCGGATCTACACGCAAGACATCGATGTTTTGATGTGGGAGATAAGGTCCTGGTTTTAAAACCCAGATCTAAGAAGAAACTGGAGGTTTCTTGGGAGGGACCTTATGTAATATTGTCTAAGGTTTCGGAAGTCACTTATCTGGTGGGGGAAAACATAGATGGGGGAAGGTGTAGGAAATTACATGTGAATATGCTTAAGCCTTACTACTCCAGGGCTAGGGTAGTTATGCAAGTATCCCAGGAGACAGATGGGGAGATTTCACTGTCGGGATGGGGAAAGGTAATGGCGGATTGTGCTTTACCCTCTGTGGATGAGAATACCAACTTAACAGATCCCCAGAAACAACAGTTGAAGGATCTATTGTACCAGCATAGGGAGGTATTTTCCAATATACCGGGTAGAACCCATTTAGCTTGTCACCGGATCAATACAGGGACAGCTAACCCTATAGCATCTGCCCCATACCGCGTAACAGGAGAACAAGCCAGACTGATCTCAAAGGAGATACAAGAAATGTTAAACCTTGGTTTAATTGTACCATCGAGTAGCCCATGATCATCCCCAATTGTGTTAGTACCAAAACCAGATAATACCATCAGATTCTGTGTAGATTACCGTAAATTAAATCAGGTT